ACGCGGTTTCACCTATAACATGGTAAGATTTTTTGGCTCCTGAGGACAGGGTTATATCGAGGTAGAGGTGTATATCGTCAACTAGGTCCACCAGCATCACTCAGACCACAGCGGAGTGTGTTTAGAATGGGGCCAAAATACGATCTCAAGCATCCTAGAATTGTGTTGCTGACCACAGCATGTGTGAGGTGGCGGTGGCCATGCTTCCTTTCATCTTTGTGGAGGGTGAGCTTCTCAGAGGTCTTATGGCTGCAGCTGCCCCCCAGCTGCCACACACCTAGTGGCTCCTATTTTGCTAACAAGGCAGTGCCAGATGTGTGTGCTGCTGTAACGTTGTCAAAAGAAAACATTTCAATGTTTCCAAAACAAAATATTTCAGCTTATTTTATTCCACAAAAAATATCAAGGTTGATTTTTTCATCCCAAATTGGGACAAAACAAGATTTTGAAATCAGGATGGAAATAGTTGCTAGAGCAAACAAATCCATGACCATTTATCTCTAGAGGATATTTGTACACACAAACATTATATTTTATATCTCAATCACATCCTCTGTGCTGTTATGTCATTACTCAGATCACAGGGTACCAAAATGTAAGGAAAATACCACTCTCTGGTACAAGTTTATGTTATCATACCTACAACAAAAAGTATGCAATAGTTACTGTGGCACACAATTCTTACTTCAAATTCGTGGCTCACTTTTCAATTCAAAACCGTAGTGACCCCAAATACGTGCTAGTGTTACGTGATCCAGAAATTGCATCCTCTTAGCATTTGAAATTGATGATCATTTTTGTGCATAAAGATTCAGAGTTAGTGTTTGTGCAGACCTTGTTGTCTGCAATTTTGTGTGCTCTTTTTCTTGCTCTCTCTTTCTCTCTCGGCTATTTTGTTCCAAATTTGTTACTTTACTAAAGACAGTTGATCAATAAAAAAGAAAATGTGTGGTAGAATCTGGAGGAAGCAGCATCTTAAAAGACAAAAAGAACCAATAATCTGTATCTCATAACAGTATCACTACAAAACAGATAAATTATATTCATGCTAATCATAATGCCTTGCACTTGCCTACTTAACACACTGTACTTTAAAAATACCTCAAGTCTGTAACCTGAGTTTAGTGCCATATTTTTGTAGCTTAGAAAAAAAGTAACAACAGCTGTATAAAATATTCAACAGCTTTTCTTGTGGTCATTAATGTCTTGATTGTAAAAATACCCTGTTTATGTGCCAAAGAATTTCCAGTGTCATTCACTTCCTACCACAAATTTGTGGTTCATGGCCAAGGTGTACCCTGAGGAGCTGAGAGGAAGGGTTTGACACTCTATCCATCTTCAGGATAATTAGATCCCTTAGGGACAAAGGACAAATTGAGTAATAACAAAACACAAGCATCAATCTTCTAAAGAAAAACAACGGTATGTATTGACTCATTAGAAACCTGTAAAATAGGCAACAAGACCACTGAACAGTTAGCCAAAGAGCAAGCCATACAGGTGATGCTTGGGGATTTTTTAAAAAAACAAACCCAGCTCTCGTAGGGCACTGCTGTGAGAAATTATGCTTTACTTATGCAGCTCTACAGTAAGTCTGTCAGCCTACAGCACAAAGCATTATCTTTCACTTATTTCCTTAATAAGTAAAGAGAACAGAGGAAGGATTTTCACAGCTGGCAGTATATTAGCACTGCATCCGTTTTCGTCAAGGGAATACAGTTTTTAAGGTTGTTTTAAATCTGGTTTAATTTTCTTAGTTTTTTTAATGGGGTCTTTTCCCCTCGGAGGATGGGAGAAAAGGGTTGGATGGGAGATCAGAATCTGTTGCCAGCCCACACTTAGTTATGTATCAGACACCAGAAGGGATCTCACAATAAAATTCACACAGCTCACTGATTGCAGGTCTCAGGAACCTTCTTTGCTAAACTGAAGCATTTCAGATATTTTAAGTAAAAAGCATTTACAGGGTATTTCACAGGTTGAATGTCTCTCCACTAGTCACATTTCTCACAGACATCTATTGTTATACCAAAATGAAGGTGAGGATCCCTATATATTAAGGATTTATGAAGATACCCAGTTTACAGTTAATAGTACAATATTCTGGCTATATGTCTCTAACTAAATTTCTCTCACAGACTTTTTTCCTAGAGAGCCAAAGCACAATCAGTTAACAATGTACTTCTTAAAGTGACCGTGCATTCTTCTAAGTGTAAATAGCTTTTTTTTATTAAAGTGATATCACCCCATGCCAAGCATTCAAAGCTATCTGAAGTGCTTAGGCAGCAATCAAACAATAGATCACAACCTATGGACTGCCCTTACCCTACCTATCCTCAGAAGAGAGGTTCCCAATTTCTCAACAGACAACAACTCAAGAATGATCTTTACTCTTTGTCTTGTACAGGGGCAAGCACAGAAGTGGTTCTTAATAATAAATAGTAATAATAATGTACATCTGTGACAGTCTGTATCCGTGTTCATCCTTTTTACTGGACTGTGATACATTTTGTATAAAGTAGACTTTGTGAGGTATCATTTGAAGACTCATAATTTGCTGACCACTACTGTCCAGGTAAAATATGTGTAGCGACATTGTATGCAAAGTTGCAATATTCTACTGTATTGCATTACTAAAATGTGTTCTAGTTCTGGGGAGTGGCCACTCTCTGGCAGGAAAGAGGGTGTGGGCGAAAAATCTATATCTCGACAAAGAAACAGCTCAGAGTTCCCATCCACACAGACATTTTGTCTCCTGAACCTCAACTGGAGATGCTTCTTGAAGAAGAGAAAGAACTGTAAGAAGAGAGAGCAGATGCCCCAAATTATTCCTTCCTCTCTCTCTGACCGTGGCATCCACAACACCTGAAGAAGCGACATTGGACTAGAGAAGGGGACCCTGACTGAATGTCGTTCAGCCAACAAGATTGCTGTAATATGTGGTGAGAGAGCCCTTGGCTTTGAATTCACTTTAGTTAGGCATTAGCTGCGTTTTATTTTTCTTGTAACCAATTCTGACATTTAATGCCTTGTTACTTATATTCACTTTAAATCTGTCCTTCTGTCCTAAACTTATTTTAGCTAAACCAGTGTGTTTGAACTGAAGTGTTTGGGAAACTCTTTTTGAGATAACAGGATTTGTGCATATCATTTTTCAAAACAACGGACTTTATATCAGCTTGTATTGCCTAGGAGAGAGCTGGGCAGTACAAGATGTACATTTCTGGGGAAACTCTGGAACGGGGAGTTTGCTGGTGTCGCTCTACAGTGTAATTCAAGAGTGGCTGGCTGCAGCACTCATACACTGAAACTGAGAATAACTTACATGCTGGAGGCTGTGTATGAGCAGACCAGGACTGGTTGCTCTCACAATGAAGCAGTGTAAAAGGTACCCTAGGTTAGACAGCTGAGGTGACACAGATGTTCATCAGTCCAGACTGTACTCTGGGTATATCATAATATCCTTCCTTCCTTCCCCATGTACTCTGTGTTCACTGGTCCCCAGGATCCTAAGGTGTCCTCTCCTGGCACGACCTTATGAATTAATGCAACAATAAGGCACAACAAGGCTACAGTAAGAAATGAAAGCTAAGAAGTGGGCAAAAAGAGTATTAAATAAGCATTGGAGAAAAGGGTATTTTCATGGCTAATAGGTCTGTATCACTGTACTGCCAATCCATAGAGAAGATCTGCATCAAGGATGCATGTTTGTATTTACTATTTTATAGTAATAAAAATACCTGCTGCACAAAATCAAACCTAAGTAAGAACTAAGCATCAAGCTTCAAGGACTTGGTCTATATGCAAAACCCATCAGTCACACACACTACTTCAGGTATACCTGGCTGAGAACTGATGGCCACACATTTCATAAGGCTTTGACATCTCCTTTCCAAAATCATTGCTCTCAGCTATGCCATTTTCTACTTTGCATAATATCTAGATGAACCTAATCACTGGTATTTTTTTTTTAATTTGAACATGCCCAGGAATAAAGAGAGGAAAAATAGTGCTGGTTTTATTCCCTCAAGTGGATAATCATGAGGTTATCTTTCTATTTATGGTTGAAAATTTCCCAGGAAAAACTACTTTAGGACAGGGTGCTGGTAAATACCGTCTTGAACTTGGTTTTAACTAAGCAAAATAATTGCTTCAGGGTCTAGCAAGTTCAGCAAGCACAGAATGAACCTTTTCAAACTTTGGATGCATCCATTCAAAACTTAGGAGTAGGCTTGGTCTAGCCATTACATCAAAGTTGGTCCTCTCTACAGAATGCTGCGTGACCAAATAGACCTGGACTGGTAATCTGTAACCCTGCATGTTTCTGATTGCTTAATGCTTCAAGCCTACAACTCTGCATTATTGTTGTTTTCATATAATCAAATGTTTGTGACTTGTTTATATAATATTGAAAACTGAAGTATGAGTCATGACATGTATAACTTTGTTGAGAAAATACTGAACCAAAACCTATACATTCTGATGTTCAGTATTATAATTACATATATTAGTATTACGCCCACTGCAGTTTCACTTTGTATTTGTACAATCCTGAATTAATCTGCAAATCTACTGTCTTATGCAACCACAATTTGAATATGTACTAAACTAAGTGTAATGTGGTGTGCATTAACAAAACAGTTTTTAAAATAGAAAATGCCTTAAACTGGGACTAATTAGTTTTTCCTGGGTGGTGAAAACCATGATTTTACCTGGTAAAAACCATCTCTGATAAATACTATGCCATCCCTGTTTCTATTACAAGGGTGTAGATTGGGCAAAACAGAATAGTAACTACCACTAACCAGGAGTGACAAGAAGTGCTGAAGAAAATAGTGTGTTTTTGACACAGTCATTGTTAAAACAGTAATAGAAGTCAGTAGAGAGACCTCATTCTTATGAGGTGAGAACAAAATACACAGTGGCTGGAAAGAACAGAGCATGCATGTCCATAAATGACATCCTCCTAAATGATGAAATTACCTGAAGTGACCCCTTACCTTGGAGAGCCTGTAGAGTACGAGTCTGTACAACAATACAGAGCTGCAGAACCAGCTGTGGTGCACTTTCCAGAAACGTGGCTAGCAAGTGCAGCATACTCACATCTGCATACTCATATACCATTTTCCAATAAAACCGCCATCTGTCGTTCTCTCCACTCTGTCGACTGCGGATACCTAAGTATATTGTGTGGAAATACCTAGAAATAAGAGAGAGATTAAGAAGACACTGCAGAATATTTTAAAAGCACCATTTTTACTCTAAACTAACCCACCCTGTCCCAATATGCTCCAAGATAATGAATGGAGGGGACTATATTCCAGAAGGGACACAATATTCTAGTTCATAATATTTTGTTCAGTGGAAAACAACAAAAAATTATCTTAAAAAAGCCATTTTTGAAAGCTTACCACTTTTGTCGTATGTGTTAAATGCATTCTATTATTTTCAAAGATAAGGCATTTTAGGTTGAAACATAGAAAAGCTGAGGTCATCTATGGCCTTCTGCAAAACCCATTGAAGTAAATGGAAAGACCTACTAACTTCAGTGAGCTTTGGCTCAGGTCCAAACGCCCTAAACCTGCAACAGGCTCTGCTTGGGCAGACCCTTATGCTCACATAGACCCATACTGACTTCATTGGGACTCTGTGTGGGCAGAGGAGTCCAACATACATGGAGCTAATTGTAGGATCAGGGCCTTAAAGAGTTGCTGTGCCTCTTTTCCAGAGTGAGAGGCAGGATGAATAAATTACTAATCTTGGCCATTTTAAAATATTTTTATGGTAGTCTGGATATGTTTTGAAGGGGGGACAGCTACAAATGTCCTTTCCCATGTAGAAGCACTAGCCCCTATTCAGATGGTTTCTATATAAGAGCAGCACCTGCTTGAAGATAACAGACAGCAGTAACCTGAAGATGAACAGAGGTAGATGGAAAACACATGTGCCTACCATAATCTGAGGGAGCAAGAGGACAAGCACCTGGCTAGCAACCAAATAAATGGAAAGCTGCAGGTGTAGGAACAACTGGTTTTGTTGGAGGCAAAGGGATGGTTGCTGATAGACAGTGAAGCTACCCAGTCACTGAAACCTCCCATGCTCTTTGCAGAGACTATAGCAGCTGCTTGGACACCTGTGCTCTCTCCTGGGTGGCCTTTGATCTGCTGTCAGGAAGGAAACTCCGAGTCTTTTCTACCAGCCACCTCTGTTACCTGCAGGAGAAGGAGAGGATGTTTCATTCTAACAGAGGGCTGGAGGCAGGTGCCAGGATGAGAACAGACCTCAGCGGGCAGCTGCTGCAGCATGTGCTGGGGGGGTGGGGCAATGCGACACAGGAAGGAGTTCAGTGGCCAAGTGGTTTCTCTGTCAGCAGGCTCTTACCCAGCTACCCCTGTCTATTCCCTCCCTCTCTGCCAGGTTGCTCCTGCTCCCTAATCATTCAATTTATTAGGACAGGAAAGCTTCCCCCCTTGCTGACTGAGCAACACCTGAGAGTGGGCACAGGTGTTCTTCTCCTTACTCCCACTCCAATTTTACTCAGGCAGTTTTTGCTACAATGAAACATCAGCATCTTGTCATCTTTATGCAGGTGCTGCTGACCTAATTTCTGCTGCTACTGGTTCTGCCCCTGATAGACCAAACTATCCAAGCAGAAGGAGAGGTTGGGGGAGGGGAGGAAAGAGAAGGGAGTCTACCTACAAAAGGAAAGAAAAAAGTAAAGTTAATCAGTGGTCCCAGAGCAGTTAAGTTACAAGTTAATTTGTTTTCAAACTGACCTAAATTAGCCGTTTACTCACTATGACCCTCTTTGTTTCCAAATTGGAGAGTCAGTTAAACAGTGAGTCCAGCAACACCTCAAATGTTACTGCCTGAATGGAACTTTCTGATATGGATAACAGGGGTGCATCTGGTTACCCACAAAATTCATGCATCCCACTGAAGGAGGAGGTATCTGAGTAGATGTGAGGACTTTATCACATTCACTTTTAAGTGTTATGTATCACAAAATTCAACCAGCCAATCATGCTCTTGTAATTAATAACTATTAAATATTTAACTAATCATTTTAATTTGATGAGATAAAACAAACACTGCAACACCCCTCCCACTTTCCACTCTCCACCCCAAAAGCCCCCATAACAAAACTGAGTTAGCACAGCGAGGCAGGGTCTTGATTTACAGGCAACATCCAGCCTCACTTCACTCTCGGGCTCTAACTTCAGCTGCATCTGACAGGATTTCTGAACTCTGCGATATAGAATATTCCAGGCACAGTCACCACAGTGTCAGTTCACATAGAAAAATCACTGCTGTCACTCTCCCCAATTGCAGGGATGGGCAGCGAGTGGAGCTCCAGCCTGTACCCAGTCAGTGTACACCAAACAAACACAGGGACATAGTCTAGAGACATGTTGGTGTGAGTGGGGTTGAGTCTGCAGTACTGGATGCTCCTCAATGCATACCACATGGTGCATGAGAAAAGTGTAACTTAACATTGCCTAAGGCAGCTTTGGACTTTGCCATTGAGTGTTGTAGGTGGGACAAAGCAGTGATTAGCTGTACAGGGATGGTGCAAAGCAACAATAAACTACATGGTGATTGGCTGGCAAAGAACACAATCCAGGAAGGACCAATGAGGCAACAGAAGGCATATGGCAACATCACAGTAATGATCAAGACAGCAACCTTGCCATCTCAGGTGACTTAGAGAAGGCAACAAAACATCAAGGACTATGTGGGCATGAGCATGATGAGATAACTGGAGGCACAATGCAGTATTATGGTAAATGTTGGACAGAGTGAGGGATTGTAGGGATATTAAAGAAGGTACTAACAGTGATTCCCCCAAGTGACAGTGACCCCCCCCCATAAGTTGTCCCCCACACATTAAAATCCAACAGTTTCACCAAGTACAAAAATCTCTTGGGTCTTCTGTTAAAACTTGTAAGCTACTGTCTGTAGAAACCATTGATTGTATCTGTCCTGTGAAAGATACTTTATCACTATGTAAAACTTACAAACAAGTTAATTGACTTTGTTCTTGAAGTAATTGATACAATGTAAACAAACGCTATAAGCCGTTAAGTGACTTTCATTTCATTGTAACAGCAATGGCTGCAAGGAACAGACCCCCACCCTCTGTGATTAAAGGGCTGGGAGTCTCAAATGAATTAGCACACACCCCGAAAGTGGTGGAGACAGTAAATTAAAATATGGTTAAGATATGGAATGTATGTTGATGAATGCCTGATGTACATGAATGGTTAGGGAGGTGCCAGCCTAGAAAGGGAGTATCCATCGGCCAAAGAATGTGTCAAGTAGGACCACCAGACAACCCCCTGAGGGTAAACTGGGATCCACCCCATCACCTCGAAGGATGAGAAACACAAACTTTGGACAGTGTGAAGCCACCAGGAATGTGCCACTTTGGACAGAAATGTGCCATCTGCTGATTGAGTCAGCAACAGCAGGATGAAACAGCTCCCATAGACTAACATAGGAATTAATTCCTATAAGAATGGACTCTAAAGACTGATGATTTTGATCTCTGGTTCTG